CCAAGCACACAGTAAAGTAAAATTTTTAGCTATTAAATCAGCTCTAGTGCATATGATCACAAAGTTGAAATTTGAATATAGAGAAAACAGAGCTGGTTTGACAGAAACAACACAACTTTGTCAGGTTGGGGAACAGCATTTCTGGAACATTACAGAGCAGCATGGGGGCTCCAGAGGGATTGTCCTGGCTCCACTTCTTTTCATATTGTATACAGCAGACTTCAAATATATATCTTGAGTCTTGCCAAATCCAGAAATACTCAGATGACACTGCCATTGTAACGTGTTTCAGGAATGGGCAGGAATCTAAAGACTGGGACCTTTTCTTGCCTTGAGCAACTGGATTCAGAAAATTATCTGCAGGCTTTTCAATTCTCATACAAATAGCAGATGAGCTAGGAATTTTTCTCTGTGATCAGAAAAATTATTGTTATTATTATTTTTGTTCGTAAGGAATGTCTGGCACCTCTGGTGTTTTATAAAACTGTTCCCGACTCCACTGTTAGATTATATGTTATGATATGTGTTGGCATGAACTGGAATTAATGGGTGGAAGCTGGAACTTTCCATTTAATGCCATTCTGAAGTTATGGAAAGAGAAGCTCCTATAAACAAAGTCAAAGGGCTTTTACTCTGAAATGCAAAATGGGATTGATTTGAGATTGAGATGTTTCCACTGTAGAGGTTGTGTGGACTCCAATTACTTAGTGGAAACAGTAATTGTCCTGTTAACAGCATCCGCGTTTAGTTATAAAAAGTACCTCATAAACAATTATAATCAAGATATTGACGTGATAAAACTGTGGGGTTGTATACTGTCAATGTAGAGTGAAATGATCTTGTGGAAACAGCAACTTTGCTTTTAAGGGGATTCTGAAGTCAGTGAAAGAGTGGCTCATATATGGGCAATTTCAACGGGCCATTACTTTGAAAGGCAAAATCAAGGCGACTTGAAATTGACTTGGTATCCCCGTGATAGTGTACACTGTCAATCTAAAGTGGAATTATCCTGTGGAAACAGCAATTTTCCATTTTAGAGCATTTTGAAATCGTTCCAAGAGTAAGTCAGATATGGGCAATTTGAAAAGGCTTTTACTTTGGAAAGCAAAATCAGACTGACTTGATATTGATATAGTATCACTGTGGGGTTGTATACTGTTGATCTAAAGTGGAATTATCCTGTGGAAACAGACATTTTCCTTTTTTAGAGCATTACAAAATCACAGAAAGGTAGGTCTTATATGGGCAATTTCAACGTGCCATGAATTTGAAAGGCAAAATCAGACTGAGTCAGTCTGATTTTGCCCATCAATGGGCAATTTCAATGGGCCATTACTTTGGAAAGTGAAATCAGACTGACTTGATATTGACATGGTATCACTGGGGGCTGTATACTGTAAATACAGAGTAAAAATAATCCTGTGGAAACAAGAATTTTTCTTTTTAGGGCATTTTGAAATCGTTAGAAGAGTAAGTCAAATATGGGCAATTTCAAAGGGCCATTACTTTGAAAGGCAAAATCAGACTGACTTGATATTGACATGGTATTACTGTGAAAAACACTGTGGTTGGATAGTGTTGATATAAAGTGCAACTAGTCTTTGGAAAGAACACTTTTGCTTTTAAGAGCATTATGAAGTCATTGTAAGAGTAGTTCAAAAATGAAAATTCACAGGGCTTTTACTTTGAAATCCAAAATAAGATGGCCTTGATATTAACAGGGCGCTATTAGGGTGTAAGGTTGTGTCATGTAGATCTAACATTAGAGTTTGTGAACAAGCCTATATTATATGTTACTATGTTCTTAACATATCTGTTAATTCACTCGAAGTTGGCTTTTATTTTGAAATCCGGTTTCCCTTCCCGTAATACTTTGAATACACAGGGAGCAGAAAACAAACTCGAGGCTGGCTTGACTGCAAGTCTCGAATTGGAGGCTGGCTTGACACAACGTCCGGGGGGATTTTCGAGATTGATAAAAATGTCCGGGTTTTCCTACATTCCGACAGAGGACCCATGTGTTTGAAGTCATCCCCGAACTGCTGCTTTGTGAGCACTTGTAAGTTTTTCTGCGCTCACAGAAGGGACAGACAGCGCGCAGGAACGCGCCTAATGATGTTTAAAAGATCCCAAAACGCAAGTGAATCTTTTCAGACGAACTGCAAAAGAAATTTCCCTCGTACCGACCCAGTACTGGTAATTTTTCTTATGCACATGAGGCATTATTTCTGTACCATTATTTAATTCCAGAGGTTTTTAAGTTATTTTCTTTGCACTTGTTGACTTGTAAGGTCCTATATGACAGATTTTATTTCACAATTAATTAACCGCACAGAGAAGGCATCGTTTAAATATTTTTGTTTAAGCAAATTCTTCATGACTGGGCCAAGTGTCCTCTTTTTTTGGACATCAAAATATGGTCACCCTAGCTTAACTGACTAAAAAGCTCAACAACTCGCCAAAGTATTGCTGTTATCGGACACAAGCTTTAATAGTTGCAGCTTTTGAAAGTTTGCATTGACTCTTTACTAATCTTTACTGATTTGAATCTTTGGGGGTTTTGCATAACATATTGATGACACCTACTGAAGCTTTGAGAAATACTGATGGACATTTTTCAGTTTCCTGTTGTTTTGAAAACAGTCATAAAATTACCACCAGACTGTCAGATCAGATATTTTACTTGTATAATTAAAAAAATCTTATTCCACTTCTGTCATCCCACCAGGGTCAGGGCTGTTTGGGAAACTTTGAAGTTTAAGAACAAAAGATGAAATACAAATCCCTGACACTACCGTTCCTCCTTTTTCAGCACTCACACCAGGAAATTCTTCGTGTCGATCCAGCCACCTGTCGGGGAGCTGATGAGGCCCGTCTTCCTGACAGAGAACGAGTTTAAAAAGGAACAAGGTGAGTGAAAATAGGCCACAAAATATTTCTGATGTCCTGAATGTTGCGACCCTAAACCACTGTCTCAGTTGCTGCTTTGACACCAACACATCTTTAAATGTTGCATAGTCCAAACAGGGAGCTTGTTAACATGTTAACCAGTGAGCTAATGCTGCAGCACTGCACACTTCATATATTCTGTTCAAATATAGCGCTCATTTCATTAGACTGTGAATAACTGTTGTAATGGGGTTAAATGTTTGAAGTCATGTGGGAACCACATGCTGAATATCTAAAGTTAAAAAGTTAGCACATACATGAAACTTCAGGTTTGACTTGATTGGATAGCTGCAACTTTTGAACAGTCAATCAATGAAAATACAAATGAAAAAATTGCTGCTGATCAAAGACATTGAGATCTGCACTTTGATCTTTAACAGTTACGCAGAGAGGAAAGCATGCAGTGATGCTCAGTCACCCGTTGATAATGTGCATCATATAGTGTGACACGATGAAATGAGGACCTTTTAATTAGAAAGTATATTTCACTTTTCCAAATGTGTGTTTTGTTTTGTTTTTCTTTTATAACATTGCGAGCAAGTCATTTGCCACATGCAGTAAACATCAAAGTAACTGCCTGATGTTTCTGAGTCTCCACATCATCCTTCCTCCAGAGCAGGAAACAGTTTTTTGTCCATCAGCTACGTTCAATCCACCAATACAAACCAAAGGTTTGCATTAGACGGTGTATGGTAGAGCAGCTGCAGACAGCGGTTCCCAGCATGTTTCTGGTTTCTGGTGTTCGTTTTCCATCCTAACAGTGATCGAGTTTTGAGCTCTAACAAGCCCACAATGACTCTTTAAACATGTGTCATATCCACGGTTCCTCCCTCTCCATACTCTCCCCAATAGAGAAGCTATTACACAATCTAGGTAAGTTGGCTTTAATAGATTTGTTGTTCCCAGCTGTCTGTGTGCCACCTTTCCTATAGCCAAACTCATCCTCACACAGACCACCCCCTCCTCCCATTCCCCTCCTCCCTCCTCCTTTAACACCTCGTGCTGACTCCCCCTCCTCCCTTCTTGCCTGGGTAATCAACACTTAACTGCATCTCCGGGTCTGTAGCTGCAGACACCTGCAAACCTGCCGCTCACACTCTCCTGCTCCACCAGGAATGGCTGGAAATGCTCATCCACTGATCCTCATTCACTCTTCCACATATACATCTGGCTCACAGCAGCACTCGATCATGTGCTTTCTGATAACCACCAACCATGCTGGGAGTTTGAACTGTTGGTCATCTTGTAGTGCATCGGTCTAACAGGCACTGGGTTTTGTTTTGCAGGTCAAAAGAGGTCTTGACATCTCAGTTAAAACCAGGTTATAGTCATTCAAGAGGAAATGATAACATCTTTAATTCGTATTGAGGTCTAGTTTTTAAATCAGCAAATATTTGATTTAGTTCAGACTTTTGGTCACTTTTAAACAAAACTTCAGCCCCTTTTTAACCAGTTCCAGGAACTAAGATCAGGATCTGGGAACTGAAGGAACCTATTTAACAAACTATTGTTAATACGTTTGTTAAATAGTGATTTACACCCTTTCAAAATGAGCCAAAGATATTGACCTAATCTAAAGAAACAGATTAGCTGTGACTTTAGGTCCAAAACATCTGAGTGTTGCGTTGAGATATCAGTCAAAGCTGAACTAGTGCGGGACCTACTCTCCTGTAATACCAGGTCATACCACAAGATGGCGCAATAAGTCCACGTAACCTTTCATTCCTTGCATTTTATTTACATTGGCAGTCTGATTCTATACACTGTTCAGTATATTCACTCGTATACATGAGAGATCAAGCATGTGGATCCATCTGTGTGACCCCTTGAGAAAAAGGCCAAAAGTAGCTAAAGTCTGAGAGAGCAGCACACATCCAAAAACATTTCACCACACTCACTGGTATAACACTGCCCCCTGGTGGTGACAGTTGTAATAAAAATGGGAACCATTCTCAGTTAGGGGGAGGGACTTTGTGGTTGTTCCTTAAATATCTGTTTTATAATGCCTGTGCTGTGACTTGAAACAATCCTTATGCAGGTTTAGTTCTTAAATACTACAAAAAGTTCCTGCTGTGGAAACACTTTATATCTACCTGTAAGTGTAATAGAGAAAACATCAATTTCTGTTTGTGGGGAGCAGTTAAAGTAAACGTTTGACTGGTTTTCTGTGGGACCCACAACATTTTGTGCAATTTTAATTTTTTTCCCCCTACTTTGTTTTTTTGTGCTCCCTCACACAACTTACTGCACAACCTCTTGGCAAGGAGCTACGATTTTATTAAATTTGGGTTGGTGTTATAAAAAAGTTCAAATAAAGCATGCATAGACACTAAAACTACGAACGGACTGCAGTCTGTTTTAGCGAAATTTTCTGAATTTAAGTTTTCTGTCACTTGACTTATTATTGCAGCGATTTTAGGACTTGTTTTACATCAGAGCAGTATTGATATATAATACTGAAATACTAGTTTTAACCTGGACATCCAGGCGTCTTTTGACCAGCAAATCACCAAACAGTTGCTCTCTACAAGCCATCTTCGCACAAGTGAGAAAATTAGTACTGAATACCTCTTTCAACCAGAATTTCTGTCTTTGGAAATACTCTGGAAAATGGTGACTCGAGTTGGTTAGCAGTCAGAAATTTGCTTCTTTTGTGCTGTAAATTCACCAACAAAATCCTGTGTTCAGTGGGAAGCATGAGTACATTCCCGTGTTAAGTGTTAGTCGCATTTACAGTTCTTGATGTATTGAATATTACATCAGTCCCTCTGAGAACTTTAGCAATGTTCACTGCATTGTACAGTATATGTATATAATACTGTACATGTCTGAAGCTAGCAGATACCCTGAAAAAGAATAGCAATGGTTAAAAAAATGAACTCTGTTACTGTACATGTTGTCTTCTTCTTCTTCTTATTATTATTAGTATTATTATTACTACTATTATTATTAAGATTATTAACTGCTTTGCTTGTTTTGCTGCTGGGAGGGAGAGGATTCCTGTCTGACCAGTGCTCTGCTCCTACAACCTCCACAGGTCAGCTGATGGGCATGAACGAGATCACAGAGAAACTAACTTTGGACGTCAAGTGCCGAAACGAACACGCCATCGTCCAGAGAGTGACCACCGCTGCCAACCTCAGCAGAGTGCCCTGTGGGTCAGATAAAGAGTGCAGGTGAGAAAAATCACTCCTGAGCAAACACGTCTTGTTATCTGAGCCACCTTTTAATGCAAATAGCGCTCTGTGTGGTGTTTGTCTTCTGCGAAGGACACGGAATCATTTGGGAACAAGATCTTTGCCAAGCTCAGCTTAAAAAATCACCTTAAAAGTGTGGCTTCACGTATTTTATGCAGATTTTAAAAATCCACTAAAGCAGTGGTTCCCAAACTTTTTTTGCTGGGCCCCCCTTTGTTTTACAAGAAAAATGCACACACACGCACGCACACATC